AGTGAGAGAGTGTGTGTGTGTGTGTGAGAGAGAGTGCGTGTGAGTGTGTGTGTGAGACGGAGTGAGTGAGTGAGTGTGTGTGTGTGTGTGTGAGAGAGAGAGAGAATGCGTGTGAGTGTGTGCGTGTGTGTGTGACAGAGTGAGTGAGTGAGTGAGTGTGTGTGTGTGTGTGTGTGTCTCTGTGCTTTACAGTGAGGTGTTATTGTCTCTGCAGCTGGGCACGTCTCCGCTGCACCTATCGGCTCAGTTCGGTCATTACTCCACCACAGAGGTGCTTCTGCGCGCTGGTGTGAGTCGAGACGCTCGCACTAAAGTGGACCGGACGCCGCTGCACATGGCCGCGTCTCAGGGTCACACACGCATCGTGGAGCTGCTGCTGAAGGTGAGCGAGCGCCGCATTACGGGCCGATGGCTCTTTGATGTTGCATTTGCTGTAATTTGCCGATTTAAGTGTGGCCTTTCATCATCCAACAACGACTCCATTCATGTGTGTTTCTGCAGCACGGCGCCAATGTGAACGCCAAGGACATGTTGAAGATGAGCGCGCTGCACTGGGCCGTGGAGCACAGCCACAGAGACGTGCTGGAGCTGCTGCTGCGCTTCGGAGCTGATGTTCACGCGCAGAGCAAGTTCTGCAAAAACGCACTGGACATCGCGCTGGACAACAGCAGCCACGAGCTGGCCGAGATCCTGCAGGTACACGCTTCATCACAGGCTCTTCTTCTGAGCTCTCTGGCCGCGGTTGAGCTCTCAAGCAGTTTTCCTCTCAATGCTCGACTGTCCAAGTCTTTGATACGTGAGTGGTTTGGTGACAGCGCCACCTACTGATAAAATCAGGCATGAAAAACAACTGTTCTGTCGTTTGGATTCACACTACGATTAGCATTTTGTTCTTTACAGCAATCTTTTCTCCAAATTCAGTCAACTCCTTCAGTCTCAGATCACCTTCAGTGCATCCGGGGGCTTTTTGGTGTCCAGAAACACAAAGTGAGGCTACATCTCAACATCACTTTTGTCCATATTGTCACCAGAGAGTCGTTCACTTCACCCGAAGATAAAGTTATGACCAGAGTTATTATAGTTAATTAAAACTGAAACCCATAAAAAACAGCATTTTAGTTAATTTAAATAAATAATATAATTTAAGTAACTGAAATAAAATAAAATAGAAAAAAACATTTTTAATTTCAGCTAGTTTTCAAAGCAACATTTAAAATTTTTGTTAAGTTTAACCTGAAGAACAAAAATAAACTGAACTGAACTGAAACTGAAATAAACATTAATAAAATCTGTAGACATAGACATATATATAAAATAGCTAACAAAAAGACAAACAATAAAATTACTAAAACTTTAAAATTAAATAAAAATGAATTTAAAATTATTAAAAAATAGTAATAGTATCTTAACAGTTATGAAATTTTCATAAAAAAAAAAATATATATATATATACATTTTTTTTAATTAAGCATGCATGAATGAATCTTCCTGACTTTAAACTGTTCGTTCTGAAAGTAGCATCAGTGCATCGATCACAGATCAGCTCAACCGTTCATTGTGTGTTCGGCCCTCGACTGCTGCTCGAATCATGAATTTCAGTCATTTTACACTGATGTAATTTAATGTACCTCTGTAATACAAAGTAATGATGTTTATTAATAATATTGATGAAGTGGTTTTAATAATTAGCATAAACCAGAACATCTGTGTCATAATGTGTTTATGAATATGATGATTGTGCATCAGGTGGCGATGCAGAACCAGATCAACACAAACCCCGAGAGTCCGGACACACTGAGCGTCCACACGGCCGCGCCGCGGTTCATCATCGGTTCAGGAGGAGTGAACCTCGCCGGACTCGTGTCGCACGCAAACCACAGCAAATCCACAGGTGACCCGACCTGCATTTATGAATGACCTCCTTTGTCAGACGCACACGTGATTGTGTGTTTGCCCTCCGCACAATGAAGAAAATTACCCTGCAGTTATTTGAACAAACAGCGTCTCAGAGCAGCATCAAAGCACTGATTAGACTGAAATAAGCCTGATGTTGTTGTGTAGAGTAAGTGCATACTGATGGAGATGTTGATCTGATGGTCGTCTCTGACGCAGTGGTGGCCGCAGAGGAGCTGATCACCGCAGACTCCGTCGACGGAGCCATACAGCAGGTCATGAGCTCTGGAGGTCAGCAGGTCATCACCATAGTAACAGACGGCATTCAGCTGGGCAACCTGCAGACGGGCACAGGCATCAGCCAGCCCATAATAGTCACCATGCCTGACGGGCAGCAAGGTGAGAGAAACATATAAGCATCAACATCTCGAGAAATGTGTGTTTGTGTGAGAGTGTGTGTGTGTTTGCGCGGCTCTCTCAGTGTGTGAGTGTGTGTGTGAGTGTGTGCGTGCATGAGTGTGTGTGTGAGAGTGTGTGTGTGTTTGCGCGGCTCTCTCAGTGTGTGAGTGTGTGTGTGAGTGTGTGCGTGCATGAGTGTGTGTGTGAGAGTGTGTGTGTGTTTGCGCGGCTCTCTCAGTGTGTGAGTGTGTGTGTGAGTGTGTGCGTGCATGAGTGTGTGTGTGAGAGTGTGTGTGTGT